CACACACACACACACACACACACACACACACACACACACACACACACGAGAGAATATTAGAACAGTAATGCCATTAATGATCAACATGTTTCTGTTAAGGGGCTGTGGGAGCTCAGAACCATCATGTTCAGTTACAGTCAGGTGAAAACAGCCACTGTGCTTATTTAAAAAGGCGTCCGAGGGATTCATTCCACTCAGCCGCTCAACACAGAGCTGTTATAAACAGGAACGCACCACTTGCCCCGCTGATTGGTTAAGAGGAAAAGACTTTCTCTAATTAAATGGCAGCCACTTCACAGTGTAAACACACACTGAGCAGCTGTCCAGGAGGGATGTTGTCCTGAGTGTTTACCTGCTCCGCGTTGTCCCACTGTTCAGGCTCCCCGAGGCACGGTGTAGGGCGTGTGGAGAGCAGGCAGTGGAAGGAAAACCCAAACACTTGATAGACGCTCCGCACAAAGTCCAAACAAGCCACAATCTCCTCTTCCAGCTGGGGACAAACAAGGAAACGAGTCAGGATTTGAGCAACAAAAAGGACATCTATCAATAATCGTGTGGCCTTTGTGAATTACTGGCATTCAAACAGAAGACTTGGAGATTAAAAAAAAAACATGAGAGAGTTTCAGGATTGATTAACAAGATGGAGGATAACTGTAGAGCTGCAGCAGCAACACATTTATGGAGGCATCATGTTTGAGCGGGACAAAGAGCTTCATTCATCTAGGCCGAGGCCTCCTGGAATGTCTCAGGAGTTATTTGTGCAGCCGATCCAAGCACAGTCTATGTAACAGTCAAGAAACAATCTTTCAGCTTCTTTTTTTAATTTTACCTGCTCAGGAGCGCAAAAGATGTGAGCATCGTCCTGACAGAACCTGCGGACCCGAGTCAGGCCTCCCAGAGCCCCAGAGAGCTCATTACGATGCAGCGCCCCGAAGTCGGCCCATCGCAGAGGAAGCTCCCGCCACGAGCGCACTCGATGCTCAAACATGAGACTAAAACACAAGAAACCCGAGTCAGGCCGTGTGGAAACATCCAGCTGCAGGGACGTGTGCACGTGTTTGTGTTCACCAGTGAGCAGGACAGTTCATGGGCTTCAGAGCGAAGGTCTGAGAGTCCTCCGACGTCACAGTGAACATGTTCTCGCTGTAGTGCTCCCAGTGGCCCGAGCGCTCCCACAATGCAGTGCTGTACAGAGTCGGGGTCACAACCTCGGTGAAGCCTCGCCTTCGGTACTCGCTCTGTGTGAGGTCAGGAAGGAAGGATGTGTGCAACAATGAGTACCGGAGCGGGTCAGGCTGTCACAGCGGGGTCGTTATGAAAGCAGCAGCGATATCCTGAAGGCCGACATGAAGTCGTAAATCATCAGGAGCAGAACAGCAGGTGACAGAGCGAGCGCACGCTTCAGTGTCGGCTTACAAAGAGAATAAATCTAATCAAGCCACGAAAACAAACACGATAAAGAGCTTTCAGCGAAAGCTGCAGCTTATAATTACATGCGTCCATCAAAGGTCAGTTTGTATAAACTCATCATCATTTTTAAGTTACCACATGCAGTATTTTATGTTGGCTCTTAAACTGAGCTGAGGAGCACATTTAAATTGTATCTGGTGACTTTTCAAAACCTAAATTTGTCTTGAAGGTGAGAAATTCATGTTAAAAAAATACAACAGATTTTGAGTTTACCTGAAATCTTGGCTTTCCTTTAATTTTACATCTGTTTTCTTTGATGTAAAACTTTAAATAAGTCAGCAAAGCAAACGTGTCTCTGTCAGATGTACGGTAGGAGTTGTAATATTTTAGATCTGTAAATTCACTTCAACTTTTAGCTAAACTGATTACAAAATTCCTCACCATAAAGGCCTCACAGAAGTTTACAGAAAAAAAATAAAACTTTTATTCAAACCGTTCTGTTCACGGCTGAATTATGTAATGAAGGATGTTTGTTTGTATCAATTTATGTAAATTACGTTTTGAATGCCTAACAAATACTTTTAGCCCCATAACTAATTTTATCTGCAGTGAAGTATAAAAAGCAACAAACGGAACGTGATGCACGTCAACAAAAGGCCCTTTGAGACAAAAAAAAAAGGTAAATTTAAATCAGTAAACTTTCAACACAAGCAATAAAAAAGTTGTTTTGTGCACAATTATAATTTTTAAATAATTTTATTAATAATACGTGCTTGATGACAGACTCAAAATTAAATTAACTCCCACTTCAAATGACTTTTTTTATGTTAAAATATCGTGCCTATGATTGTAGGTGGGAGCACACTAAACACTTTTTTTGTTCTAAATTTTAAGGTCCAGACAAAAATACGTTCTAATAAAAAAAATACAATAATTAAAATCACTGCATTTGATGAAATTGTGCCTAAATTGTTTTGTGTTCGTTAGCCATTCCATATCCTTTTGGAAAATCTGACCTGTTTTATCTACATTTTTTCAAAATGCTTGGTAGAGCTTTGGGTAAATGAGTATAAAGTTATAATAAACTACTACACATAAACGGTGGGAGTCAAGTTCACATGATGAAGTCAGTCCATCAAACATCTAAACTCAAAACCACGTAAAATTAAAATTTTAATACAGTAGTCCCTTGCTACTTCACGAACTCGCCCTTTTGCGGATTTTCAATGATCGTCACCTTTAATATTTACTCACGTGATTGGGACGGTACGGGATAAAAAGTTAACAAAAAATAAATAAATACTTCGGATAGGCGCCGCCATTTTGTAGTTTTCTTTCAATAAGCCTACACTGTAGCGCAAGTCAAAGAACTACATTACCCAGAAGCCAACAATGCGTCTGGGCGCTGCTTTCTGCCAAAAAGGAGGGAAAGATTTGATTCGATCCGAACCCGACTAAAAACTTTGGTCCTTATTCATAGTGACTTTGGCGCTCAGTGGATGCAGAGAGCCGTACGGAACCGGACCAGAACCAGGCCAAGGCTACTTCCAGTCTCAATGGTTAGTCTGAATTCTGCAGGAAACCTCACAAAAGTGTCTTGGTCCTCCATTGCTGCAGAGAGCCAATTAGAACTTGACCAGAACCGGACCCAAGGTTAGTGAATACCCATATAAAATTTTGCAGTAGCTACTGTACATGTACGCATGTTGTTAAAATTATGTAGGTTTAAGAGTTTAGAACATTGTAAGAGTGTGAGAAGGGTTTATAAAGTCTTAAAATATAAATACTAAAAGAAACATTGTGTTCTTACTTCAAGGTTTTTCACCTATCGCAGGGGTGTGTGGAACGTAACTCCCGCAACAAATGAGGGACTTCTGTACTTAGTTTGTAATCTAAAATTGTAAACTGATTCAAAACTGGAATTTCTATGATATTAGAGCAGACAGACAACATATAAACACCCAACTCTTTAAAATGTTCCACTGAAAATTAAAACTGCAGGTTGTCTTTGAGCTGAAGCACCAACCGACATCATCCTGTATTAGGACACGTCTTTTCGCTTAAGGTTCGCCATCATCCAGGTCACGATTCCAAACAAAAAAAGAGTTAAAAAACAAACAACTGGACTTCTGTTCTGAAGCTGAAGACGTTCTTCCCGGGTGGGAACTGAAACATCTTCAGCTTCAGAATAGAATCCAGTTGTTTCTGTTTTAAACCCATTTTTGAATTGACCTGTCTTTTCTTTAACCATTGGTGATGTCCTGCATAGCGCACCTTTGTTTACTTTGGATCTGCAAAAAAGCTCCTTAACCTGAGTTTATTTTGAGTTGTTAAGTAATGATTAAAGTAATATTCAGTATAACATAAATAGTTGTCTGCACCTTAATAAAGTCGGTGAGCGTGTTGTAGATGTGGGCTCCTTTGGGGAGGAAGAAGCAGCTTCCTGGGCTGACTTCATCAAAGAAGAAGAGCTCCTGGTCCTGTGCAGAAACATTAAATGTGATTACTCCATTTTATTTGAGATGTTCTCTAAAAATGATTTTTATCTTACTGTTCCTATGCGCCTGTGGTCTCTCCTCCTCGTCTCCTCCTGCTCCCTCTCCCACTCCTCCCTGTCCTCTTCTCCTGGAAACGCCACACCCAGCAGACGCGATAAACCTGAGGGCTCCGTGTGACTGGTCAGAGTGACGGAGGACATCTGGGGCGATGCAGAGCAGAGAGGACGGTGAGAAGAGGGAGAGAAAAGAGTGAGGGAACAAACAGGTGGTAAAGGAGAAGCAGAAAGAGCCAGGTGAAAACTGGACTGATGGACGACAAGTTAGCGGGAGCCTGGAGCAGAAATACGGCCTCTGTCAAACAACATCCTGCCAACATTTCCAGCCCCATGCTGTGGTGGAATCCCAGTCTGCCCATTAAGGAAACAGCTCCCTGCATCAATAAGGAAAATTCCATTTCTGTGTCCCATATGGGTCCAAAAGAAACAGACTCTTACTGATTAAAGCATGTGCCACCAACACAAAGAAAAACAAAATAAAACAGTTTGGCCGTCAGGGGGCTGCCCATCAATCCTGCAGCTAACTGAACACAGAGGCTAATGAACGAGGTCAGTTTCAGAGCAGCTGCGCTAAACAAACTCAAGGAAACAAAAAGGGGAAGAGCACAACGGCGAGAAAGAAGATGATGGAGGAGCTACACAAACATCAGCACACCTGCAGCATCTTGAAGACTTTCAGGAAGCCTGTGTGAGGGAGGAGGGGGCCGTTACACACCGCTACACTGTCTCCACACCTGAGTCACACACAGACGAGAAAACACTCTTTTTTTATTTTAATTAAACACGTCTACACTAAGTTTGTGAATATTTACCTGTACACTGTCAGAGTGGAGCCACTCATCGGCTCTTCAACAAGCTGCAGTCTCAGATTACTGTCCTGGAACACAAACACCCACAAAACACACAGAAATCAGTAGAAAATATAGATTTTTAAAAGAGTTTTAGCCGTACAACTAATTTGCCTTAATAAATGGAAGCTCAGAAAGAACATGTACAAGGAACGAAAATATCACAGACGCTGGATTTCTGGTCCATTTTCAATATCCAGCTACAAACACTAGCCATTATTTGCTATTATTAACATTCTTTGTAAATTTATAAAAAATGTTCACATGGCAGTCAAGGATTTATTGTCGTCATACACTAAAAATTATAATTTAAAAAAAAAAGAAAAGAAAATTTCTGTATAAAGATAAACAGATGCTGAAAATTTCCACCTTCTTTGCAAAGATTTTAGAAAAAAAAAAAAGAGATTTGAAAAATGGAACAGGACACTCAAGTGTTTTCTTCTCCTATTTTTCATTTGATCTTTTCCATACTTATCCCGACCTGGAAAATACTCAGCACAAATTCTTTATACTTTTTTAAGGTTTCAGGCATATTCAGAAGACAGTTCCCCGAAATGAGACCAGTCCTCCTTTTAGCTTCCTCTAGTTGTTCATAAATCACAGATGAAGCTGCCACGTCCCGCTCACATGTGAGCAGAACCAAAAGAGGCGTGCAGCAGAACTCTGCAGGGCTGAAGAGTGATGGATTAAACGTGTCGGACGTCTCCTTCATGTCATTTACTAATTATAACGAATTAACTCATTTTAGCAACCTTCTTTGTGGTTAACCTTTTTTTTTAACTAACTATGAAGTTGGTGTGTCACCATCAATATTCCCTCGGTGATAAATCTATTGTTTAATCCCACGAGCAACTAATGTCATCAGCTCATCACATTACTGAGCCGCAGCTCCGCAGGTTTATTTTCTTTCTTCACATTGTCCAGCCCTGATACTACCCCGCTCGGAGGCACAGAGGTGCATCAGAGGTAGGCTGACTCCGACTGCCTCGTTGTGTCTTCTGAAAGAACCGAGGCAGCCAGAACTCGTCTCAGTCCCGGACCGAGGGGTCCTGTGAACGAGGTTTTCGTAGGAACCCTGAATGTGAAGAAACCAGGGATGGTTGAGAAGGCCTCTGGGTTGCTGAGACACCTTCAAACACTTGATGGTGGTTATGTTTCCCATTGAAGACCTTTTATATCCAGTAACTTTTCACTGTGGTTAGGTTTGTGATTTCACTCGTGTGTGTGAAGACTTTTTAAGTAACAGCGCTACATGGATGGGATTTATTATTTAAATGAAGACGTTTAGCCTGAGGTGAATAAAAGAAACTGAGCCATTCATTAACTTCCACCAGTTAAAACCAGTAACTGAGAAATGGGCCTTTGAGCAGACACTTCCAAAACCATGAAGCTGTACATGAGGACAAACTGGGTTGCCAACAGCACAAGAAACATTTGTCACACAGTCAGATGTTGGTTTTGGATGTTACAGAAATACAGAATGTGCTACAAACCTGGAAAAGTTCACCGAGCTCCTGTGGGTTCAGCTCCAACCCGATCACAGGAAGTTTGAGCGCGGCAGCGTCTTTACACCTCGCCTCCACCTCGCTCAGAGAGAAGGAGCTGTGGGCAAAATCAACCAGGTACAAAATCAAAGTCTGACAAGTCTGTGGACATGCAGCAGGTAACAAACAAACAAAAAAAAAAGAGAACTGTGGCTAAATTTAACTAATGCAAAACTGCTGACTGCAAATAAAGTCAAACTATTTTTTTAGGTTATTGACACTCGTTAAAACTTCACCTGTTGCTCAACACGTGGTCACAGAAAAGCCCAAACTCCGATGCTCCTTCTCTGCACACCTCAGCACCAAACACACCTTCCAACACACCGCTAAGGACACACGCCCCCGTCCTCCATGCTGCCTGAAAATCACGGGAATAGGATATTGAATAGTAAATACAACTGTCATTACAAAGTCTATTTCAAGTGTTATTCATTTGACTAGTCAGTGAATATTTACCTTTTTTCCCTCAGCTGTGTCGAATCCCAGCAGCTGTAGTTCACAGTCTTCCTCTAAAGGGCGCCCCAGCTCCCACAGCTCCCCATTAACTTTGCTCACCAAGGCTCCTTTCAGCCTGCAGTAAGACATGCATTAACCGTGCTGCACCTGCAGTGATGCAACACTGACAACAACCCTGGACCTACTGAGCCATTACCTCAGACTCTGTGCAACTAAGAGCGGTGTAGTGACACCAGCTTTTCCCTTCACTGTGTGCTCATCCAACAGGCGTATGGTGAGAGGTTTTTCTGTCACTTCAGCTCCCTTCCTCCGGTCTCGTTTTTCCCTGAAAGACTCAAAGACCCGCAGTCGCTCTGTCAAAGCTGGAGACAGTTGAAGCTGGAGAAGAAAGAGAGAAAATAGTCAAAAGAACACGTTTAGAGCTGCAAAAACCATTCTGATTAAAAACACTACTGATTATTAGTCAAGAAAGCAGTTTTCCATTCTGGACTTCCTTCAACCTCTACTGTCTGCCAAGTTATACATTGACAGTGTTTTTGCATTTTCTGTTTATATTATATTTTCATACAATATTAATGTTACGATAAACGTGTAGCGCAATTTACATTTGTAAATCTCAAAATGTTACATCCCAAGAATGACTAAAAAAAAAAAACCAACACTAAAATTAGATCATAAAAAGACAACAAAACAAACATTTTGAATCCTTTTTTTAAAGGGCTCTGCAGTCTGAGGCGCCAAAAATGTTCTGGAAGTGAATTCTACAAACAAGGAGCAGCAGAGCAAAAGGCTCAGATCATCATCATGATGAAATTATTTCTGGGAATTTTCAAGATTGGGCGAGTTGTTAAGAGCGGAGAGAATGGATTTCGATGTGTGAGATGCTGTGCATACTACTCAGCTCGTAAAGCCGAGTAGTATGCACCGATGTATTCTGGCAGGGACAGGAAGCCAATGATGAAAAAGCAGGGCTGCTGTGATGTGCTCGTGTTTTTGGGTTTTGTTTTACAAACTAGCAGCCCTGTTCTGGATGGGCTGGAGTTTCTGAAGGTTTTTATTTGAGATGCCAAAAAGGATTGAGTTGCAATAGTCCCATCACCTGGGATGCATCAAAAACAAGATAAATGAGGAAACAAAGGTTAGTTTGGTGCACCGTAACTCAACGGTAAAGATGTAAATCAAATAATTTACCAGCCTACAATGATCGTGTGATTTACAGTCACACCATAATTATTTTAGTAAGAATACCTGGTGTCAATCACAATGATACAGTATTACTATGCAAGTATATCATCTTTATCTTAGAACTTAGTAAACAAATTAAAGAGCAAAAACAAGTTTTGTGCAAAAATTTGGAATGACCCTTAATTTTTTTTCAACACTTTAATCCAAGTAGCCAGAAGAAAGCGTTTAAAGCAGTCTCAACTGATAACATGTCAAACTCCCTTAAAGTTTTTTATTGCGTGTAGGAGGGGTGGGTTTTTTTTAAACTAATTTTCCACCAATGGCCGATTCTTGTCCCTACTATGATCACAATAAAGTTTAACGGTTATGAAACGTGGACGAGTGGAGGACAAAAAGAAACGAAGTGTTTGTATGTTGCGTTTTCACAAAGCACTGGTTCATCTCGTTTGATGCCATTATTTTTTAGGCCTGAATGATTCATGGATCAAAGTCTTCAACAAACAAAAAAAAAATTATTTACTAAAATGTCACATATTAAAAGGGAAAATATTTTTAAGCACTGATGGACTTGCAACCTGTCCAGAGTGTACCTCGCCTCTCGCACAGTGATGGCTGGACACGGGCAGCAGTGACCCCCGCAACCCCCAAAAAAGGAAGAAGCTGGTAAAGATAACGGATGGATGGAATATTTTTAAGCAGATTCGTAGTATCTGGAATTTGTATCTTTAACAAACAGGGAAAACAATTTAGCAAAGACACAACCTGAGATATGAAACACCCGTCAGCTGACCAATCACTAGTTTTCAGTTAATAACTCTTGAGAAAAACTTTACTGGTACTAAAATACTAATTTATGAGTCAATCAGTGTAATCTTTAGTGCTTTCCATAGATTTTACTTAAGGAATCACAAGCTGGAGAAAAAAAAAGAAGCTCTCTCTGCTTTGAGCTTAGCCAAATGATATGGATCCCTAATATATATATATATATATATATATATATATATATATATATATATAGAGAGAGAGAGAGAGAGAGAGAGAGAGAGGAGAAATTCCCAGCACTAGTGGAAAATATTAAAAACATAGAAAATATTAAAAAGGTGTCTTAACTAATTAGTACAGGTCTTTTGTAAATGAGTCCTAGTAGCTCAATGAAACTTAACTAAAGGTTGAATAAATGAAAAACTATGATGTGTCAACACTAGTCCATCCCTTGAGCTGGGAGTTTTTATTTTTTGTTAATGCTTGCCTAAATTAGAATAACTTAAAACACTACTATAATAAATCAGATTATTTTTTTTTTTTTATAAAAACGTTTCTGAAATGGGTCATGGACAGGATGGAAATTTCGAGTTTAACAAAGTACTGACAAAATTAGCATTGTAAAACTTTAGTCTGGCTCATTATAACCTAAAGGATTGACTCGACTCTGACGTAGTCACATTCAATTGTTTTGGTTCCTAATAAAACAGGATTCATTTAAATGTTTCTATAAAAACCCTTTATCATCGTACGCGTAGACAAAGAATTCTAAACATATTAAGATTTGAATAGAAATACAGAACATTAAAATACAGAACTGCCCTCTACTCGTTACCAGCACACCGGACACGTTTCGCCTCCCAGCACTGACTGAATCAAGCGTCCCGGTGGCTAACGCTAATGCTAACAGTTTCAGCTGTTGGTTATCGCACCTTGCTGTAAGTCCTGTGGGAAGTTTTGCGAACTGCTAACGACCTGACAACCAGCCGAGACAACTGGGTCACCGCCATTCCGAGCCCTCCTGCCTACAGGTTCATTTCCTCCCCCCAAAAATTAAACGCACAACTCTCCCCTTCTGCGCAAACGGCCATAACACACTGGAATCGGGGTGACGTCGACGTCAACTTGTGACAGAGCTGCGTGCGCGCTCCAGGAGCTTTGGACGCCAGAGCGCGCTCTCTAACAGGAGCTGCGTCAAAAGATGAGGAACAAACTCTCAAGTTAGGAAATGCAAGGTGAAATAGAAAGGGGTTTTTTTTTGGTAGTAAGTTCAGGCATTTTCATACTGCCTCAACCACAGTGCGCATGCGTTGTTCGTCGCGCGCCCATTAACTTCCAAAGCACTAACCTGCAGTATGCTGACGTAAATTAAACTGAACTGCAATCTATGTGCTCCATCATAAACCTCTCTATTCCTTTAATTGTGCTACAAATACACATTCTTTACTGCCAAATATTTTTAATATATGAATAAAAACAATTTTACTCTTCTTACTGACGTTTTGTGAATGACTTCCATTTTTAGGCCTGATCTACAAAAATGAAGCATTTACTTCTGTTTTAATAAACTATATTAAGGAGTTTTAAGTTTGAATTAAAGTGAGTCATTTCAGAGCGACTCCAGCTTTAAAATGGGCTGTAGAGTGCAGTACCACCACCTACCACTTGAGGGAGACATGGCACCACAAGAATGAATATTGCAGGTTTTGGCAAAAGTGCTGTTCATTTCGTGCTTGGATTTGAACAAGATTTTAACATAAGCTGCGCCTTTTAATGCTGTCAAACTGTATTTTGAAATTTGATTAACCTTTAAGAAGCCTTATGTATTAGGAGGGAAATAACTGCTGGTTTTCAAGTGTCAAAGTATCCTGATGCATGCTCAAATCTTAAGTTCTTATAAAATAATAATAACAAATGAACTGGATCTTAATCATTAATAATAAAAATTCAATGTTAAATAGAGGGGAACTGAAATGCTTGGGTGTACAGTTAAAACACTGTTTCTTCCCATTTAATGTCAATATACTAGTTTTGTTTTTTTCCTGATAATTTTCATTAATTCAACCTTTATTTATACAGGTTAGTCTCATTGAGCCACGAGGACTCATTTACAATAGAGACCTGTAAATAACATTAACTGTGGTTTGGTTGATCGTTATTTCCACACCACTGGAGCTGAACCATTTCATATCACAAAAAAAAGTTCAACAAATGCATATACTGTGAGAAAGTCTTGTCATTCCTCGTTTATATTTTGCTCCAAATACTCCAGACATTCTCAGATTCCTTAGGCTTGTTTCGTAAAGGTTGTGACTTTCAGATATTCATCTGTTGTAATTTTTCATGTCCTACAGTACTTTTTTTTTTATCCATTTGTCCAGTTTCCTCATATTTTAAGCATATGATGCAGTCAAAGTCTAAAAAAAACTTTTAAAGACCTTCAAAAAGTTTGGGGAATTATTGATCCAAAACCATCTTTTAAAAAGAAAGAGAAAGGCCGGCTGCTTGGAAACAAAATATAACTAAATCGGGCGTGGTTTGAAGCTTTTGCACTGAACCGTGCATCTGGAGCTGAAATGATTCTAAATTGCGTTTCTAAAAAGTGGTATTTCATTCAGCAGCAGTGCTTTTACATTTCACAGCTAAATAGTTGAGAAAGAATAAGTAGGAGGAAGGAGGTGTGCTGAAATGGTTCTAAACCATCAACTTTACAACCGTTTCACTCCATACGAGAAAGGCTGACGTTCTCTCTAAGGCCGCGGGGACTGTTTCCTCGCAGCCGTCGGTCAATGTTTTCTACTGCAGGTGAGGAAGAGCTGCTGCAGAATGTGTGCATGTCACAACAGAAAGGACCGGACACTCAAAGACCAGAGATATAGCATCATTGATGAAAACAGCAGGTGAACTTATCAAATATATACAGGCCATCAGCTTCAGTACATCTTCAGTCATTTTCAAACTCAAATTAGTCAAAAGAGGATTTCTTCAAGTCACACACACAAAAACAACAAATATTTACAGGGACAATTAAAACCTTAAAAGTGGTGGGTGTTCGCACGGAGCCGTTTTTTCTCTTTGCCGTGTGAGGACTGCAAACTAATTCTGCATGTTAGTAACAGAGAACAGGTATTCAGTAAAACCAGGTGTGTAACAACATTCTGTACATTCTTATAATGTACCAATCAGCATCATGCAGGAATTTGAAGCATTATGACTTTTTTTTTACTCAAATTGTAAAATAAAATATAATATTAAAGCAGACTAAACACACTCCTTAAAAATAAAATAAAAGAAGCTATGAGACACTGGGCGCAACATTCAGTTTGGGTCGATCATCAGAACTGCATGATGGAGGGCAAACGAGGAGGAACTACTGCTCGAGACCGACAGAGGACAGAGAAATGGATTCTGAAGGTAAGCACGTGCACGTGAAGCAGAAACTTGAAACTAGCAAAGGAACTGTGCACAGGTGGGGTCGTCTGATTAAAACATCCTTATGTTCAAATTAAATCAGATGCTTCCTACAAAACATTTGATTTGGCTGCTAAATTCATTTTTAGCGAGAAAACAAAACTAGTAAATGTTGACGTGATGTGAAAATGTGCGCGATCTCTGAAAACAGGGAGGAAACACAGCCCAGCAGAGACAAACATCAAAACAGAGAAACAAGTTGGAACCAGTTAATGGACCCTTCTTCCCTCCTCCAGTTTAATAGAAACTCTGGATTTTATTCAAGTCAAAACAGAGTGGAAAATACGGTTGCCTCCTTTCATGTCTACTACTAGTAGTTCTACTTTAAGGCAAACATTTACGTCACTGGGAGAAAATGTATATATATATATATATATGTGTGTGTGTGTGTAACACCAAATTATCTTTGCCGTCTTCTTCAGGTGCAGTTGGTTTTAAAAGCAAGTTAGAAAAGTTGGACAGAAACTGCAGAAATAAAAACTCTTTGGGGTGAAAGCTCATCCAAGAGTTTTCCTCATGAATAAAAATAAAAGCTTAAAAGAAAAAAAAAAAAAAACTCAGTCCCTCTATATATTTACAAGCTTAGACGTGTACAGAGAAGAAGGGCAGAGTGGAGAAAAAGGCCGAGCAAGAGAATATTTACAGAAAGGATTAGAGTATAAAGAACAAGCGTTAACCTCACCTGCAACAAATATTTTGTTTCCAATGAAATATCCTTTTTTTTTTTTTTATATACAGCTAACATTTGTTTACCCACGGAAGAGAAAATTACTCTGGAATCTACTTTCATCTCTTCTATTTTAAACACTTCAAGAACCGTTCGGACATTTAGGGAAATCTGACATTAAAACAAAACATTTTATATTTTGAGTTCAAGGCAAAGAACAGAAACGACTGCTCAGTAAAGACTCCAACCGGGCAGGCAGCTGCTGCAGTTCTGCACGACTGAAAGGAGAGACAGAGAAGTTTGTCAGAATTATAGTTTCCTCCTCGTCCTCAGTCGGAGCCATGCTTTACTCCTTTATCTTTATGCTAAGCTTCGTTAAAAATAAAAAAATAAAAATATATATTACTCCTCTTTTACAAACCTTAGCAAGAAAGCTAATGCGCACATTTCCCAAAATGCCGAGCTTCTCCTTTCAGTGTCCTCTTATGGAGGGTTGGAAAAAAGTGTGGGAATTGTCAAAGTTGGAAACTTTCCATAAGAATTAATGACAACGATGATAGAATTTAAAATACAGCAGGTTGGCTCTTACAGTACGGGAAATATATATTTTAACATAATCTGGGCTAAAACTAGATTTAATGGCTTTACGATGTAATAAGAGGAACTACATCCTAATGATAAACTGTCATGTGGACATGGAGGGACCGATTTAAATGCAACACGTAAAAAAAGTTTTGTACCAATTTAGTTGTGAACTGATATTAACTGAAATTTGTTTTTATGCAGATAAAAATGACAAAAAAGTGTTTTGTTCAGAGCGGAGTGAATGAATTTAGAGAACGATCACAACAAATAAAGTGGATGTCATTGTTCTCCGATCGTGTCGTGACACAGAAGTTATCAGTGAAGTCATTTTATGCAAACGACGTCATTAAACGTATTACGTCCAGAAACTTCGAGTCAAACTCTTTTTGTCTTTGACTATATCTGAAAACAAAATGTTTATAAATTTTGTTTGGATATGATGGTTTATTTAAACTACCCCCAATTGTTACAAATTCCTATAAGTCCCATGGAAAGTTCCTAATTTTGAAATATTTCCCAATCTCCCCATCTTCACTTTCAATAAAAACTTTCTGGAAAGTTTCCAGGAATTTCCGCCCCTTTGTAACCCTGACCCCCACGGGAAAAACTAAAACTTGTTTCACTACGTCTTTTTTGTACATCTCAGGTAACGTAACCCCAGAATGACACAGGTAGACAAAAGTCTAAATGTACTATGATTTCATTTATGCATGAACGTTTTTTGTTGTTTTATTCTTATTTGTGCAACCAACCTAAAAAGAAACTTTAATCTAATGTTTATGGATAAGTGGAAAAATTGCAGATGAAGGTTACACAACACGCTACACTACGATAACCTCTGAGAACAGTGTAAGATGACTGGCTGCCAAGCTGCAGCGAAACGACTTAATCAGCTATTTACACACAACCTGACGGTCGGGTTCATTCAAGCTAAATAACAGAGTTAAGATATCTGGGCTCATACCAGCAGGGCTAACACACACTGCACTGTTAGACGTGTGGCTTCTCAATCGGCTTGTCATAGTCGACCGCTTCAGTAGCGTGGGGGCAGGAAAGGCCTCTTCTGGAAGGGACCACCTGTGAAACGAGGACCGTAGCGCTTCCCTCTCCGAAACCCACCCCTGAACAGATGATCTTGAGGCATGCTTTGGCCTCGCGG